GTCTAAGTCTAAGTCAAAGATTCACAACACATGTCATTTCAAGGGATTTTACAGAGACAATTCAATCAGATCGTAAAGTGATCTGATAGAATTAACGAAATTAATGGAAAAAAGCACCTTCTATTATTAATGTTTTTCCAGTAATACATTTCTGTTTTATTTTTTGCAGAACCTATGTATAGGTTTTGTTGGGGGTGGATAGGAAGAGTGGGGGGCCCGCCCAAGACTTCATTTATATCATCTCCGCACCTGGTCATGGAATCAGTACATACACAATTAGATTTTTATCAAACAAATGTAAATAATTTAGCCCCCCATCAGTTAAAAGTTTTTTATGCATGTTTTTTTTTTTTTTTTATCGCACCAAATATTGGTAAATTATATCCTAAACGAAGCCTGTGACATTAACTTTTTTTTTAATTTAAAAGTAAAGCCAACCTTCTCCTCTCCATCCTACCTGCAGGAGCTGGAGTCAGTTTCCGGATGGTTGCTCTCCTCTGTCCCCGCCGCTCCCGCCGCCACCTCCTCCATCCCGGCAGGAGCGGACGGATCAACTACCACCTGGGGCACCGGGGCCTCACCAGGGGGCTCCATATTTGTCACCGGACGCGCACGGCGACGAGGCGGCGGAGAAATCCAGGAGAGCGCCGCGGCGGAGCTCCTGCACTCAGGCTGGCTGAGGGATCGGGTACAGGAGTTCCCCGTGGCTCCAGCTGTCGCTCCAGCCGGACCTCCCCGACTCCCCACAGGATCACCAAACTTTCTGCCGGTACCGTTACACAGGTTAGACCCGGCGCTGCCGCTTGCCACTAGTCCGCTGTGACAGCCGGAGCTCTGGTTAGCACGGGCTGAATTTAAGTTGCTGCAGCCGCTAACAGAGGGACCGTCCGCCGGACTGCCTGCCGTTCTCCTCGCGCTGAAGTAGTCTCCGAGTGGCGGAGAGTGAGGCGGAGGAACCGCGGGGTGACCGAACCACCTCCATCGGATCCGGAGGATCTGTTTCACATCGAACTCCTTCCGCGAGGAAGAGCCCGAGCCACTGTTCGACATTCCAGGGCTCGGCTCGAGGAAATGGCGGGGACGATCCCGTGTAAAAGCAGCACGCTGCACACTTCACGCGCGTCTCTCTTGGCAACAGCACGCCCGTTAACCGCGACTGGAGGGCGCGAGCTGAGAGTCGAGCTTAAAGAGCAGACAGGATGGAGGAGGAGGAGGAGAGAGAGCGAAGGAGCTGTGCTCCCTCTGTGTTTTTATTTAGGAATTCCACATTACCGAAGTTTTCAGCTCTTTCAGAACTATTTTAATAAATAATGACCTAACGTCATCTTCAAATTATATCTGATTTCTATTAATGGATGGGTTTAAAATATATGGAACCGACAAAAAGTAGAGACTGGAAGGTAGATGATGGATGGATAAAACTATAGGACGAGAGAATAAAGTTTAGGGTCTACTAACGTAAAAGAGCCATGTTACAAAATTATAGCGAAATATTAAGATTGCCTGCTGATATCCGTTCATAATATGCCCTCCTCTCATTCTCAACCGCATTTAAAGGCTCCTCTGTCCTCTCAGTCAATGTTGGCACTTACCGCCTGTGACACCCAGCTGAAAAATACCATTGCATGTAAAGCTTGGGCATTCTGCTCAATTTAATTCAACCCCAATTTTATTTTAGACCGTAAAAAAAGAAAAGGCCCATATAAACCAGTAGCCTAACTTTTCTTGGAGAGATATAAAACAAGTTTTTCATGCCCACATTCCTCACACTAATGGTTTATACAGTTAAACAAAGAAAAGTCAACTGCAGTAAACTATATTGCAATACAATAAACTAAATCCCCCTCAAAATGGCCTCCTTTAAAGTATAGTTATGTTTATATTACTTTAACTATTTATTTTATTGTGCAACAGAATCAAACAATGTCATCAATATTTTTTTAAAATAATTCTTAAATTGGTCATTAACTTCACTTTTACAATGCCCAACCAATGCAATTACACTGACCTAACTCAAGTCTTTCAGCCAAAAGCTGTATTTAATTAGAACTGCAGTCCCACAGAGATTGTTTTTGCAGGTAGAAATACTTACCAGAAATGTCTTAGTTCTTTCCAGAGCCTTCCTGCCTCTTGGAAGTCTTCCTTAATGGTTTATATCTTGCATTTTAATAAATCAAGAAAAATAATCCAGTTTTACTAACATGCTTACCAGGCAATGGTAAATGTCTAAACTGTTGCATTATAAGTTTTCGTGTAGTACTCTCCTTATCCATTTATTTGCACAAACACATTGTTGACTATTGATGTATATTATTGGATAGGACATCTCTTACAGGCACCATTGCTGTGTATTTAATAATGTAAAAAAACAGGCTGTTCTTATGGGGAATTGGGATGGAACTGTCAAAAAAAAAAAAAACACTAGAGAACCTTAATTTCTTGTCTTTTTTTATAGATTATGGCTAAAGAAACTGCTATAGGTTAATATTTGTTCATAATTGAGCAGATAAGACAGAAACACTAGTGGCAGAAAGTAAAAGTAGTAGCATAGTCTATCCAGAAAAACTAGCAAAAACAAGTATTTGTTTAATGATAAATGTCAGAAATATATGATATGTGAACCCTTCTTAAAGTCAAGTAACAAATCACTATTAATATGAAATCCCTGTGCCATATCAGTTTATTTTTACCTTTATGTAAAAAGGGAAAATTATTAGTTTTAGTAATTTTAACACTATATATATATTGTTGTTGTTTTTTTTATTTTGGGGAAAATACATTTGATGTCAAGAAGCCTATTTTCTTTATATCTTTAAGTCAAACTATCAAAGTAACATGTCATTTTATTCATATAAGTGCTTTGGCCATTGGGGGGGCAGCACTTTTGATGCTGCTTCTGCTGCAGCCCTGGACTAAAGTATGTATGGAGAAGGGCTAGCTGCTGGAATTCTTACAAAAATATGCCCTGACAGATTATTACATTAGGGGTTGCACCTTTAGACAACTTGGTTATTCCAATTTCATTTTTATTTTGATTAGCTTGTTGTTTAAATATTTGTTCTACATGAGATATTACAGGTATAAAAGGTCCTGAAATAAATTATCTGGGTTTTATTTTTTATATAAAAAAAATCTGCATGCATGAATAGTTTGTGGGATTTTATTTCTCAGCAAGATTTTTTTTTAAGGCTATAGCAATTATTCAGTCAAGAATTACAGTCAATTTAAAGAGCTGAAGGATGCATCCTCCTTCATTTGCACCCTGGCAGTCAGTGTCCTCCTCTCAGTCCTCTACTCTTTAAAAAGTTTTGTTCATCCTCTTAGCTCTGAGCAATCAGTAAAAAAAAAAGCTGAAATACACTATCTACCAGATACTGCAATCAGAGCACAACCAGGCTTTCATGTCACCCGAGTGTCCTTCAAGATAAAATTTCACTTGAGTTCCAGCCACCCTCTAACATGTGCTCTGAAAGCTTTTACATCATCTCAATCCCTTTCGTCTCTTAAACCATTACTCTTCACCCTCCATTACTGCTCTTCCACACCATTTCTTCCCCCTTCCTTGCCTTCATCTGAGAGCATATGCAATGGGAAATAAAATGATGAGAGGCTGGTGTTTGATGTAGGATTTAGTACTTCCATACACCTGAGGACATCCACACCAGAACGCCTTCCAGTCTGCAGCAACCTCTGAACGAGGAGAGGACGACTGCAGGCCAGAAGCCAAAGGACAGCCTGTTCTGGATGCAGTCCCACAGACCGGGTGGCAGAAATGTTTCAGGAGCCTCACTCTAGCAAAAATCAATAAGTCAAACAGCCGAGGTCAGATTGTGAATTACACAGATGGGAGCCGTGTTACTCATAAATTGCCCTTGCAGACTCAGGTTTGGCAGCCTGAAAGGAGCAGTTGAATAGGGTCAACTCAACCTGCTGCCTTTGTTTGTCAGACTCTGAGTTACAGAGCGTTGCTTGATTTTAGCAGTATTCCTGTTATTCCAACCACCCTGCTATTTTAAGAGATCAGTACTACACACTCAGTATGCAAACAAGAGAATCCACATTGACAAGTTCACCACCCAGAGGAAGCAAGGAAACAACTGAGGATTCTGGCACATTTTACTCTGACAACTTAAGATGTTGAATGCCTTTGATTTTTTTTAGAAACTCCAAACTGAAAAAATGGAAAAATGCTAAAACATATTTATACCCCCTGAAGCTTATTGGGTCTTAGTCTAACAATAGCGCAGGTAAAATGGTTTGTTAACATTTAATCTCCAACTACCCTTACTTCACACAATTAATAAACCATTTCATACACATCTATGTGTTATTTATTTCTCCTGGTTGTTACTTGGGTGTATATTTGATGATCCCCAAATTGTCATATTATTTATTTGAAAGTGTATTACTTTCTAAAGATACTATTTTTTTTAATGGATAGGTAACTTTTTTTTAACCAATCAGCATAAAAAATGAGTTTAATAGCATTGTGTTATCAATGAGGCTGATATTTAATGTAAGAGATTGATTCAAATCTGATTAAATTGTTTTAATTTTACATCAGGGCATATAAATGGAACCTTTATTATTGTAAAGTGTGGATAGACTGAAATTCCTTCGAGCTAGGGCCACATAGATGTAGTAAATTAAATTATTTTCATAAGATTACAGCTTTGATCTCCACCTGGGCTGTTCGGCTCTGAAGCACAGCAGTGTGTGACCGCTTATTGAGCCAAAATAACTTAAAAAGGTTATTGGAGTGGTATTTTTTTGCAGTAGACTATGAATCAATAATGGAAAACTACTTTAAATCATTTATTGTCAGAGTGGGTGTGAAAGGTTTGCACGCTGAGTACAAATGGTCGCAAGGTTGGTAAAAAATGTTGGATGACACACAGCTTAGTACATACAATGCTGGCTGAATAACAGTTAATTTATTTACGTATACTTTTTTGTTTGTTATGTGTAGAGAGGAGAATAAACCCCCATCTAGCTTCTTAATAGAAAACCATCTAAAAGCCCCCATGTCCTCATGATAAAGCTGTGACCTAATATGCAGGGAGGTAAGACGCTTTTGGGTTTAGTGAAGCGGTATCAGCGCTCAGCCTTAAGCAGTCATTATTGCAGAGTATTTTCCATGCAATTATGTAAAATACACTTTCACGGAAATAAACAGGCTACAAATGCAGCAAGCAAATGTTATTAAATGAGTTGAGCAGAGATTTGATACATCCTCATATCTGTTCACAGCTATCAATCATTTGCTGCCATGTAGCAGCTGCTGTTCTTGCTGCAAATAATCTTTCTGCAAGTCCCCGTGGTGATTTCATTCCACTCCTCTTGTGTGAAGATTGGCAAAGAGGTCTTTGATGTTGCCGAGCTTCCTCGGCATCACTTTGGTCTTTTTTAGCTCCCTTGGATTCTCAAAGGATTCCTCTATGCTCTTCGGCTGGATGCTTTTCATTGCTGTTCTTGAAGAACTAAATTATTAATTTGTTTACTTGTCATGCACATTGATTTTAATGACTTTATTCTTGTCTTGAGTATAAATTTTGCATTGGCCTCCATCCATTCTCATTCCCCAAGATGGGTTCTGGGAAATGAAAATGGATTCCACATTTCATTTATGTGCTCCTGATTGTAAAAGCCCCCGTATTAAAGAGTTATCTTGAAAACTCGTTACAAGGCACTCCAAATTAACCAAAGCATTCCTGCAGCACTTGTTACAAAAAAATGCCTTTCTACTGTGGGGAGTTTGGGAACATGCCCCTGGTGAGGAATAAAGCCCCGGGATATTTTCCTTGAGCCAACTTCTGTTGGAAGTAATCACTGGTCACTTGACAGACGCCCTGTTAGAGCTGCTTGTTTTATTGGTCTCCTGTCTGAGGTGGTACAAGTCAATCACTCAACACCCTTTGGTGCACCTTTATGGTGCTACACAGGCAAAAAATAATGCTATAAGTTATCCTGTTAACCAACTCTTGTATTTACTGCTCATTCATGTGCAGTAAACCCATTTGTACAACATGGGATGCACCAACACATAGAGT